TATATATATCCAAACATAGCATAAAATTATTTAGTATTTGTTTAGATTAAAAAATCACAATTGGAGTTAGGAATTAATTAAGGTTAGAAAAAAAAATTGTGACTTTAATGTGATTTGTGTTTAGATACTTTTTTATTTTAAAAATTACTTAGACAAAATAAAATTTTCTTGAAATATTTAATTCAAAAATCAATTGAAACATATAATGATAAAAATAGATATAAGTTTTTGTTTTCCTTTGATTATAAAAAAAATAAACATAAGTTTTCTTGTATATACGTTTGTGAGAAAAATATTAAAGTTAAAACTATAATTTTTTAAAAAGTATATTACAAATATAAATACATTAATAAGTCAAAAAATTGACGGCATCAACTTTTTGTATAAAAAATATCAAGATTATTATATTTGAAATTATATAAATAAAAAGAAATAAAAATCATGTACGTAAGGCTAAGATTTACATTCAAATATCTTAATTTTTACTATTCCCATCAACTCCTTTGCTAGTTCGCCTCCTTCTTCAACCTTCAACCTCTCTCTCTCTCTCTCTCTCTCTCAATGAATAACAAGAAGCATGCAACTCACCAATGACAAATCTACCCTTGTCTTTTGTTCCTATTCCTTTTATCTTTATCTCCATCACCATCATCATCATCTTCCTATCTCTGCTCTTACCAACCACCATCAAAGGCCTCAACTCTGACGATGCTACCGCCACTATCTATGAAACCGGCACCTTAAAAAGTTGAACACTAGTATTGTGAGATGCTGGATAGAAAGGAGGTTAGATTTGCGGTAACAAGAAAGAGGTGAAGAGCTTCAACTTGTGAAGGCAGAGCAAAGAGATTGACTCATTTGCACTCATAAAGATGATGAAGAGAGAGAAGACTACTAAAAAAATAAAGAAAGGCATTAAATGCTATAATGTCTCCTACCAGATCTCAACGCCAGCTAGAAAGCTCTATAAGGTAGCTTTGTTGAAAACGCCTATTCTCCCTTCAATACTGGTTGTCTTTTATTTTTATCCAAACATGATCAGATAAACTTTTAACATCCCAATTTAAGTTTAGACCGCTCCAACTTACGCTGAAAAGTTATCAAAACATACCCTTATACGATTTCCTTTTTGCTAGAAAAAAGTTAAGCTATTTTACGCACAAGACATTACATATTCTTACATGATATATTTCTTTATCTCTCTCTAATAAGAACAATAAGTTATAAATTCAAAAACAATGCCTCATACAACTCTTCACAAAACCAAGTGAGTCTAACCCAGAGAATGACTAAAGGGATCAATATTTTAAAAAGTTAAAATTACAAGAACTAAATTGTAATAAATCAAAATTAAGCATTAAGTCATAGGCAAGTCAAAATTACAAGGATTGAGTTATAGTGAGTTTGAGTTTTAAAACTGAGTCACACTTGAGTCAAAAATATAAAAACTAAATGACTAGTTTTTCCTTCTTCTTTTTTGCCATGGACTTTGCTATTGTTTTGCTTGGTTATCTTACTAATAGAAAGATATGTAACAATTTATGTGTCATTCAAGCTAAGTTAATAGTATCTTTATAAAAATTTTATTCATATTTTTTCAATCATTATAACTTATATTGATACCACATACACTACAATATTTTTTTTAATATCATGTGACAATTTTTTTTAGTAATGCAACAAAGAAACAATGGTAAGGAAGCACTCTCTCCGGACTTTAATATAAAACATCTTCTACAAATATTGCATAATTCAAAATATAAGGTATTAAATAATTTTTATATTTATTTCTTTAACAACATTCTTACTTCATTTATTACTCTTTTGAAAAAATCATGTATTGAAATTTTAATACAGAGCATTTAATGAGATATAAATGAAAAGATATAGACATTTTTTATAATTTAAGATTTCAATTAATATTGTTTGTAAATTATAAACCAATCAACTATAATTTATGTTATGGTATGGAGAGAGTACATGATAAAAAAAACATAAAAAGCAAGAATTGTGCACGCGCCTACATTTTTTTTGTTGGAAAAATTGCCCAAAAAGACTTGACCAATTTCATTTTGTTAAGAAAGACTTGGAACATTAGGTCCTTTGTTGGCATTAAATAGAAACAACAAAAGACTAAAATGTCCTTGCTAAATTCTCTCCCTCTCCAACTCCTATGTGATCGTTTTGGCTTTGTGATTTTAACAGTGACAGCAAGTAAGGGGTGTGATCCAATGGCAACAGAGGATCCCAAAACATTGTCAATGGCATAAAAGTACCCCATCAATCTTGCAGCAGTGACGAACAATTCACCCACCCCTCCCTCTTATCTCATTGGTTTTTTTACTTAAACTATGCTTCTTGCATCATGTTGTTTATAGTTATTATCTCCTTCATTCTTCTCAGTCGATTGCTTTGTTAAAGGAGGTAGTTGACTACCTTTATAGTGGGGTGTTGGAGGACGATTGAGAGATAAGATGGGTCACTACCTCTACAATGCATTCTCTTCTTCAGCGTCCTTGGCACTTTATGAGCAGAGGTTTGCTTTGTCACCCCCTAATATCTTTAATTATCTTTTGAATTGGAATTTTATGTTTAATGATTTGGAGCAAATCAATCATGGAAATTGTATGTAGATGGATTTGAATCTTCATTTGTTTTAAGTATTAGGATACTTGTGAAAGTTCATCACTCTTCATTGTTCTGTTACTCTTTAACTTCTATTTAAAATTTTAGATTAAAATTATCAATTCTGATATGTTTAAGCTTAAATCTTTAGTTATAAAAATCTTCTAGCTTAAAGTCATATAATGAATTTCTTAATGTTGCTTCCTTAGTTTTCATATATGAGTGTTACTTCCTTTTCGTGCTTCCAGAATGATGGATTGGTTTGCTTTACTTTGTCTTCATTAAATATTGAATATTGAAGTTCTCCTTACATGACTTGCTATGTTATCTCATTTTGGCTTTTGCATTGTTATTGGTTATGTTTTATAAATAACTAGTGTTGGGTTGATGAATGCTGATTTGTTGGGTTGAAGTTCTCCTTCCTTTTTGAGGACTCATGCAAGACAGCTTTGTACATAATTGAAAAAGAGATTAATCTTCTAAGAGATGAGGTATATAGAAGACTTAAACCTTTGTATTCAACACCTCTCGATTTATTGTAAGTTCTTAAAATTTGCAGTCAAAGGGTGAAAAATTTAAAGTCTTGCTCACCCTTTTTGTACATGCTTCTGAATTAAATCTATGCCTTTCTGAAAGCTTGATTGATGATTATGTTTATTTCCAGGTGATTAGATGAAATGGGGGAATGTACATGGTTAAGTAGAAGGTGCAAATGCATATGCTGAGGCTTTATTAATTGACTCTCATTTGATGATGCATATGAGTTGCAACTTTAGTGGAAGAGAGAAAAGAGGACATTTTGATTTGGAGAATGACAATTATGAGAATGTGGAATAAAATGACATTAGACTTCCTTACTTTTACTATGAGAATGTTGCACTTGCGCCTAAAGGTGTTTGCTAAATAAAATCTAGCTTATTGTATTATCTTATTTTAATGTAATGTAATTTATGTTGTCAAGGGATGTAAAAACACGTTATTGTTTTATGATAAATGCAATTTGTTGGTGTTCAATTGTTATTCTTTATGCTTTAAGTTGGTGTGATTGAGCTTTACATATAATAATAGTAACCATTTAGAACATCCTTTGATGTTTTCATAAACAATGAGCAAATTTTTAGAATATCCATTTGTGTTTTAAAAATATCCATTTATGTTTCTAAAATATTCATATACATTTTCAGAATATCTATTTGTGTTTTTATAATATGCATTTGTGATATTCTGAAAACATAACATTGATGCAATATTCAATCCTGAGTTCTAAACCATATTCGAATATGCATTTTAGATATCTTGAAAATATAATTTTTCTTCTGTTTATTCAAATAATCATTTTGAATATTTGAATACCACTTCAAGCAATTGCAAATAGGCTTCCATTTATTAAAATATGAAAAAGTGTTATTTGAATATATAAAAGAAATTTGCATTTCATTGAAAATCAGTCGTATGTCAAGGAAGAAAGATTACATATGCCTTCAAAGATATCCATAAGGAAAATAATAAGTTCTATTCAAATATGCAAAAGTGTTATTCAAATATATGGAAGAAATTTACATTTCATTAAAAATCAGTTGCATATCGAGAAAGAAAGATTGCACATGCCTTCAAAGATATTCATAAGGAAAATTAATGAGCGATATTTTACAATGCAAAAGTGTTATTTGAATATATGAAAAAAATTTACATTTCGTTAAAGATCATCACATATCGAGAGAAAAAGATTGTATATGCCTCTAAAGATATTCATACGGAAAATTAATGAGTCATATTTGAATATACAAAAGTGTTATTCGAATGAATGATTTTTTTTTCTTCATATAATTGAAGCTCAAATGCATATAGTGAAAAAATTGTTGTATATGACTAAAGATTCTTGCTTCTAGTATTTTAAAATGCTTCTAAGTTAAAATTTTTTAGAATATCAAAAGATGTTATTTGAATAAATGAAAGTTTTTTATATATAATTAAAGTTCAAATGTATATAGTGAAAAATTACTGCATATGATTGAAGACTCCTGTAGCTAATATTTTAAATTGACATATTTACACTGAAGAACTTTGTATTAAGTGTTAATATGAAATTATCGACAGTGAAAGATTTTATGCAAAATATTAATGATAAAAAACCTTGCTTAATTTTTATTTTTTTAATCAATAAGAATATTTTATTATTTAACCCTCAACAATTATTGCTAGCGAAAGTCCTCAATGTTAAATCTCTCCCAACTCTTTTTCAGCAATTAATTGAACCCCACCCCCACTCCCCCTTTCCGCCTTTCCTTTTGGTAAACATAATTGTTGTCACTCGTCATGCGTATCACAAATCTCTTTCCGTTGAAATATCCAATCTTGATCTCACCCTCCTTCCCTCCAATAAATAATCATTCCAACTCTAAATTTCTCTCTCTTCATTTCAGTATCGACGCCTCTCCTTCAAAGCCGACCTTCCTGATCTTCTAATGGAGTTTGTCATGTCAAGCTCCAAACTTGTCAGTGTTTTCTTCTCTGCATTTCTGCTTCTCTCTTTCTTCTCAGATTCTCCTTCAAACGCTCAACTTATGCCCCAAGACGAAGGTACTTTCTCCACTCCTCTCCCCTGCTTTTCTTTCTTTCTTTTGTATTTGTTGTCTTGTCTTTTGCTTCAGAATGTTTCTTTCTCTTCTCTCAAACGTTCAGTGATTGGAAACCATAGAAACTCTCTGCAATTCCGTTCATGTCCTGCTATTCAAAACCTTGCTGCAGAAAAGAAACCTCTTTTAAACTCTTCTGCGCCTTATCACTCGTAAAGATACATATAGATGTCATAAAATAGACAGATTTGTATAATGATTTGATCGAAATTGTTTCATAGTGCAAGTTGGTTTCAGAAAGATAAAAACTTTTGCATCAGTTCCCCCGTTTCTAATTTTGAAACTTCCAGATTATGAACTTTCATCACTTATCATTATTATTATTGTTGTTGTTAACAATTATTATTTTATATCTGGGTTTCTGATGGGTGTTTCTTGATCCATAAGGATTCACAACTTCATCAGTCTTCCCAAATTGTCTTGAGTTCTAGTCATTCACTCAGCCCGTTAACACTTAACATTTTTACAGAAAATAACTCTCCAAGGATCTGATGATAACTCGCGCATAGTTCGATTTTGTTTCTGCATTATGGCGGATTCTGGATCATAATTCATCTTTGCTTTGACATTTAATTTGCTGGGATTATATTATTTCATTTTTTTTAACTGTCATGATTGAAGATATGGTGTGCTGGCACGGCCATGTGAAATCACCATCCTTGTTCGTCCTAAAAGGATCCACAGTACTATATGCGTCATTTTCATGTTTCCGAGAACACCATTTGGGCCTGCAGTAATTAAAATTAAATGCATAAATGGCATTAATTAATAATGTTTATAAATGGGTATAATTCAGAAAAATTAGAAAGCATCAAACTCATGATATTCTGAAAGCCTAAACTTGAACTGATTGCAATATATTTAATAATAGTAGTGTATTTTTGAAATTCTGATTTTTTTATGAGAATTATTTAGCTTTCAAAACCACTTTTCTTTTTTATGGATTCTGAAAGTGGGATGCTTGGATTGCTTTCCTTTGGCTTTAGCCAGAAGAGATTGGTTATTATTATTATTTTTAAACTGGTATGGGTCTGGTGATACCAAGCTTAAAAAAACGAGCCACATTATTCATATTTCATATGTGTGATTTTTTTAGAGGTTTATATTATATATGCATATATATTATAATACACACGCGCACACATAAATGGGTCATCACAAGTTGAATCTGTGGACTGTAGCCTGTAGGATAGGTAAATAGACAACAACTCGCTGAAAATGACCCTGCGATCTGCTACTTGCTGTCACTACCATAACCCATTTAATGATTTTCTTAGAATTTTAGTTCATGTGAAAAGAGTTAAAAAAAAAAACGAAAACAAAAACACGAAGAAAACGATGAAGGTACCTGAACTTTAATTTGCCTTAGTCATTTGGGTAAATTATTCCTTCAATCCTATTGCTTGTTTTGTAGTTTAAAATATATATTTCTCAAAGATTTAATTCCAACTATTAAATTATTATTTTTTAAAATTAAGAGTACCACTCATGGTAATTAAAATATAAATGAAAATGAAATTACTATTCAAAACAATACTTTAACCTTACATATAAACTTCTTATTCACTCTCCAGCTATGTCTTAGTTGGCCTGTCACAGTACATAAAATAGAGTCTAAACTCCGTGTATTGCTATTACTAGATATGAACTTGATTTATTTGATCAAATGTGTTGATGAGTTGTGATGAGTTATATTGTTAATGATTATAAATGGTATGATTCTTTTTTTCTAAATTATATATATTGAATATTGATATTGATAGCTTTGCCGTGTGATCAAAACAGGCGCTATGTTTGAGACTCGTTGCTTAAATGTACACTGCATGTTTCTTTACTATTTAAACTTATTGTGTTTCTCAGACCATGTACTGAGTTAGAAATATATATATATATATATATCACTTTTGGTTAATTTCTAGGGGTGTGTGTACACACTTATGATGTGACGCAGGTTTTATATGATAAGCCTTGAGAATGAAAGCAATCTGACTGTCTGTGTCCTTTGTGTTCGAGAGGGTAATCAATTTGAATGGGGAAACTAGTTTGGATGATTGTTTTGGACCCAAAAAAAAAAAAAACTAGTTTGAATTATTTACTTTTTTATTTAAAGGAATCAAAGTAGAGGATGTGAATAACTTAATTTTTATTTTTTAATACTATTTATAATCGTTATTAAGAGAAATTAAAGATTATTCTCATGGGTATCTTTCTTAAAGAAAAAAGAAAAGAAAATATACACTTAATTGAATAATAATATTTAATGTTTAGATTATATATGTATATGTTGATCAAGTTGCTTGGGAATATTAAGATTGGGAAGAGTTTTGCATGCTTGAATAAAAAGTTGGAATTTTTAATAATGCCAATTGTTAGATTGCCCACAATGTATGACATGGTCGTATCACATTCAAAAGGAAAAAAGGAAAAAGAAAAAAAGGCATGGCTGTTAGTATTATATTACGGCTTTTGACTCTGAAACTTGAAATCATGGGCATGCCAGCATTGAATTGTGAGAGCAAGCCAAATCTCGACCTTCATTTTTATTTATAATTTGTTTCCTGTTTTGTGGGATCCAAAGGACTAAACAAACATTGAATCAAGACTAATACAGTACAAAAGCTGATTTATGTGTGGTTCTGTTGATTTCTTTCATTTTCTGTGGGATCCAAAAGAACTAAACAAAGATGAAATGAATACAATATTATCACATAGAGCTAATTCGTGTGTGTGTGTTTTGTGATACAGTGAAGGCACTACAGGCAATATCTGACAAGCTCACAAATGTGAATTGGAAGGTTACAGAGAAATCTTGCAATAATGGAGACTCAGGATTTAATAACCTCACTACCACATCCACTCAAATCGTCAGGACTGTCATTTGTAATTGCACTTTCCAAAACGGCACCGTTTGCCATGTCACTCATATGTATGGCCTTTTGGTTACTAATCATATATATCCGTGAAATAAACAAACTTGTCTGAATCTTCTTTCAATTATACACAAACCGATGTATGAATTCTGTAAATTCTATACCATTTTTTTGGGCCGGAATTATTAGTGTTTAGTGATACAACAATTTGTCATTGGTAGTCTTTTGAAAGGCCAGAATATATCGGGAGAAATACCAAGTGAATTTGGAAATCTTACACAACTGATTGAACTGTGAGTGATTATACCCTTCTTTTTTTGGATTCATTTGCATTCATAATCATTGTGAAAATGTATCAGAATCAGCGAGCACTGACGGAAATTTATTGTATTGAGCAGTGATCTCACTCGCAACTATCTCAGTGGCACAATTCCAACGGTTTTTACACGCATCCCTCTTGTCAACCTGTAAGTTATCGTATAATGTGGTATTTTCAAACTCTATTTGAACTGGGCATGCAAATATAATAATATGATAAGGTATATTATATGCTATGCATGCGTATTTGAAAATTGAAATCATTCCCATGTACATTTACTTCAGGTCCCTTTTGGGGAATCGCATTAGCGGTTCAATTCCAGAAGAATTGGGTGAAATTGCTACTCTGCAGGATCTGTAGGTTTTTGACTCAATGCCAATCTCATTTTGAATTGGGGGAAAAAAAGTTGATACTGCAGCTAAATAAGTTTTGTATTTATGTTTACAGGGTCTTGGAGGATAATCAGCTTGGACGAAATCTTCCTCAGAGTCTTGGAAATTTGAGCAACCTACGGAGACTGTAAGTTCCTTTGTTCTTTTGGCAGTTTTCATTTGTGGCTTTTGTCACCGAATAGAGCAACCTGTTAACTGATGGAACCCTCTACTCTATTAAGCTTAAAAATAAGCAAAACCAGAAAATACACTGTAAATGTAACTAACAATTACTATTGCTGAACAATAGAGTGGGATTACAATCAAAATAAAGACTGAAATTACACTGAAATGGCAATTACAGAGCATGAAACAACATAAACTATACCCTCTGAGCAGCAACACGGACAATGGTCTCTCACAAATACAAACTGAAGTAGAAAGATAAAATGATGAAGAAAAGATAATCTTCTCCACCCCTAATCTGGCATTCGAGAGGCCAGAACTCTCCTCACTTGACCACAATTCTCCAATAGTCCCTCCTCATCCCTCATCACGGAAGTACATATTTATACAGTCGAAAAGTAGTCATTACCCCTGCTGACACTACCCATACCCTAGGCTGCACCTAACCTGACTTTTCTTTTATTATTTGAATCTTACAGTTATAAACCTTCAAATAAACCTCTTGACCACTGGTCTTAGTCTTCTTTAAATCACCTCCCTGCCTAGATTGTCCACTGTAAGCCTTAGGAAATGACAGGAAAATCTTTTGGGAATCACCAGCTCTATCATTACCCTCCCCTTGAAGCTTCACCTTGTCCTCAAGGTGAGAATTAGAAAGTGTTGGCAATCTTTTGGGAATCACCAGCTCTATCATTAACTAATTTCAATTTCTAGTTTTTCTGTTCACTGTTTCCTTCATTTTCTTTTGGGGCTGCGTAATATTATGTCATTTGATGATGCTTTTCCAATTCTTAACTTTGTTTTGTGTGAATCTGCAGACTTCTTTCTTCCAATAATTTTACCGGGGTGATACCAGAATCATATGGAAACCTAAAGAACCTAACTGATTTGTGAGTGATATCATGTGTTTGTGTTGCTTAGTTCATCTTTGTTATGGTTGTTATTAGGCCATTTTTTTTTCCCCTTCGCCCGTCGGCTTGGCCTTTGTTAAATACTGAAATCACTCCTAACTTTTCTGCAGTAGGATAGATGGGAGCAGTTTATCAGGGAAGATACCTGGTTTTATTGGGAACTGGACCAAAATTACTATTCTGTGAGTATACTTTCGGTTATATAGTGTTCTTGTTGATGGTGAAACTAAATTTTTGTTAGTTCAATTTCTTTTCATTTTTTAAGGGAATTGTACGTTTTTTTTTTTAAAGGAATATGCAGGGCACAGGCATGGAAGGTCCAATTCCTTCTACCATATCCTTGTTGACAAATTTGAAAGAATTGTGGGTGCTCATTTTTTCTTTTAAACATCTACGTTGTAAATTGTTTTTGAATTTAATCTTCAACACAGCAATACTTTCTTTCTTTTTATTGAAGAGGCATATTTATTTCAGGAGAATATCTGACTTGAGTGGAACGACTATGAGATTTCCTAATCTAAAGGATTTGAAGATTTTGGAACGACTGTGAGTTGAAAACTTTTCTACCATTATGTCGAGCTATGCATTTATTTGGGTTTCATATGAAATGTTTCACATCCTCCTTTCTATGATTTTTAGGATACTGAGAAATTGCCTAATCTTTGGTCCCATACCAGATGACTTTGCCGCCGAGATGACAAATTTAAAGACTCTGTAAGTCTGCATCATATGAGTGCTTTATTGGTTAAAAAATTCATGGATGGATTTGAGGCTCCCATCCCCCTCGGGGGAAAACATTTCATGCACTCTATTTATGGTATTCTATGTTTTTCAGGATGAACTAATGTATTTTGGTTACGGTTTATTGATTTGAGTCTTAACTATTTCATTTTGCACAGAGACCTGAGCTTTAACAGGTTAACTGGTTCAGTCCCTGCTTCATTTCAGGACTTGAATTTTAATCACATGTAAGCAAACGTTTGCATTTATAGGCACGGAGTTTAATAAAAAAGATTGTGGATATTCTATCAAAACAATTTCTTGCAAGTTGATTTCTTTATCTTCATTGGTTTTAACTTTTTGGAATCATTAATGGGATTGATATTAATTATGGATGCAGGCTTCTGACGAACAATTCTCTGAGTGGAGTAATTCCAGGGTGGATGCTAGGGAACACTCATAATATGTTAGCTTTATATCCTTATTATTTTTCTAATAGCAAAGTCTTAGAGTCACCTCTCACACAACTACGAAATACCACATTGGTGAAGAAACTAAACTTCAATCTCATGATGTTTTCTTTCAGTGATTTATCTTACAACAATTTTACTGAGGCTTCTGCATCTAGCTGCCAGCAGTTGGATGTGTAAGCTTCTCTTTGTTTGATCAATTACATAGAGACTTTTGCACCTATACTGTTAATGCTTAATATTGACTACTTGCAATTATTGATGGACAGGAACTTGGCTTCTAGTCTCTCGTCCTCAGCAAGCAATTCGTGAGTTCTTGGTTATGATGCACCTGTTTCAAAATTTTTAGTTTCACTTATCTGTCTCTTTAAATCATCTGTTGGAACAAAATGTTCATCTTGTAGACTTTTGTGCTTGAAGAGGGGCCTACCTTGTGAGGGAAAACCAAAACGTGAGTTGAGATGTATTACATCAATCATGTTTTCATGCGCCACAAATAAATTTGTTTTGTGAATCTATGATACTTTCTCCTAATTAATGTGTGTTTTTTTACTGTAGATTATTCATTGTTCATAAATTGTGGAGGACCCAAAATGGAGTTCGAGGGTCACGAATATGAAGAAGATTTAACTCGAGATGGCATTTCATACTTTAATTTTCAAAACAATTGGGCTTATAGCAGCACAGGAGTATATATGAATAATGATAATGCTGATTTTGTAGCAACAAGTTCAACTTTATTGAATGTCAGTGATCCAGCATGCTACAAAACAGCCCGCCTTAGCCCTCTATCCCTTAAGTACTATGGCCTATGCATGATGAAAGGCAATTATAAAGTAAAGCTCCATTTTGCTGAGATAATGTTTTCAGATGACCAGACATATAATAGCCTTGGCGTGCGAATATTTGATGTTTCAATTCAAGTGAGTGATGAAGGAAAATACTCTGTTAGATTGTTTCAATTGCTTTTTACATTTTTATCATGTGTTGTATTTCATTCTGCTACAAAACTGAAATTTTGAAGCTAGAAATTTTGTTTTGCATTCTCACAGGGTGTTAAATACTTGAAAGATTTTAACATTGCGAAGGAAGCTGGTGGAGTTGATAGGGGCATTACCAAGGTATTTGATGTTGATGTGAATGATACCACCTTGGAGATCCATTTATATTGGGCAGGGAAAGGAACTACTGCGATTCCCAATAGAGGTGTATATGGACCTCTAATTTCTGCCATCACTGTGACCCCAAGTAAATATTTCTCACACTGTTAACTTACTGTTTTCTTATAAATTGCCTGGATGTCATGTAATATAAGAATTTATTCTCTGTTGTAGACTTCAAAGTTCCAACAAAAGGGTTGTTCACTGGAGCTATCGTTGGAATTGTGGTTGGATCATGTGTTTTTCTTGTATTGGTACTTATTGTCCTCCGAAAGAAGGGTTTCCTTGGTGGGAAAGATACAGAAGACAAAGGTAATATCAGAGTTCAAAATAAACTATTTTTCAGCTCTTGTACTTTAGGTCTTGCTAATAGTCAAGAAGCAGGATGAATATACATTAATCAATTCAATAAATCCCCGGGTATGAAGTGGCAATAATTTGTTAAAAATGAAATTTTAGTTGCTTCATTCTAGCTGAAACTATCGATTTTTATTTCTTGTATTCTCTTAGCATTTTTTCCCCCTGTTTCCATTTGCTTACACTTATCCCCTGCAGAACTCTTAGATCTTAAGACAGGCTATTTTTCTCTAAGACAAATTAAAACAGGCACCAATAACTTTGACCCTGCAAATAAGATAGGAGAAGGAGGCTTTGGGCCTGTGTATAAGGTAAAATCAGAGTCTTAAATACCAGAGCATGCCACTTACTCCTTGTTTGATTGAACCAAACAGGGTATTATGCTTTTGATACTGATTTAGATTACTTTATAACAGGGTGTGCTGTCAGATGGTGTAGTCATTGCTGTTAAGCAGCTCTCTTCCAAGTCAAAGCAAGGGAATCGTGAATTTGTTAATGAGATAGGAATGATCTCTGCATTGCAGCATCCGAATCTTGTGAAGCTTTATGGCTGTTGCATAGATGGAAATCAACTAATGCTTATATATGAATACATGGAGAATAATAGTCTTGCTCGAGCACTTTTTGGTACATGCTTCATTGATACTTTGTATATGTAGATACCTACTCCTAAATAACAATGTAACTTGGAAGAAATTTCTCTTTTTCTTGATTTCTTTTGACTTTTAGGCCACGAAGATCAGAAGATACACTTGGATTGGCCCACAAGATTTAAGATTTGTCAAGGGATAGCAAGGGGTTTAGCTTATCTTCACGAGGAGTCAAGATTGAAAATAGTGCATAGGGACATTAAGGCAACAAACATCTTGCTTGATGAGGATCTAAATGCCAAAATTTCTGACTTCGGTCTAGCAAAGCTTGATGAAGAAGAGAATACACATATCAGCACCCGAATAGCTGGAACAATGTTCGTATTACTTCATATTTAAATCTGTTCTTGATTAATTGTTAGTTGAAAGTTTATCTTCAGCATGCACTGCTGGGTTGCTCTTGTCTGTTGCATAAAGCCATGCTCACTTGAATGATTTTAAAGACATTGATGCGATATTTGGGAGATAGAAGACTGTTCTTTGGGGGGGGGGGGAAGGAAGTGCATTCATGCATTTCTCATTTCTTTGAAAACATATTTTTGCGTACCGAACATTGCCTAATGTTTTCATATTTATTTAATAAAATCACTAAATGACAGATATTACATGCTCTTTTTTCAGTGGTTACATGGCCCCTGAATATGCAATGAGGGGTTATTTGACAGACAAAGCAGATGTTTATAGCTTTGGTATTGTTGTCTTGGAGATTGTTAGCGGAAAGAGCAATACAAATTACAGGCCTAAGGATGAGTTTATTTATCTTCTTGATTGGGTAAATTAATTTTTTCTGTGGCTCATGCATTTGATAAATGAAGCATTGCTCCATTCACTCCCGTGGTCATCTTAAAAATTTGAGATTACCAAAAGCATTTTCATAATCAAATAGGATGCCACACTTAAATTACTTCTGAAAACAAGGTGGTGTTACTCCTCATAATACATCTTTGTATGCCATTGAAGGCCTATGTTCTACAAGAGCAAGGAAACTTTCTGGAACTGGTGGACCCGCGTCTTGGTTCAAGCTACTCCAAAGATGAGGCCATGAGAATGCTCAACTTGGCGCTTTTGTGTACCAATCCATCTCCCACTCTCAGACCGGCCATGTCATCTGTAGTGAGCATGCTTGAAGGAAATATTCCAACTCAAGCACCAATAATCAAGCACAAAAATTCTAGTCAGGGTCATCAGGATGCAAGGTTCAAAGCCTTTGAGGTGCTATCACACGACAGCCAGACGTCTCTAGCCTCTCAAACAAGTGTGGAGCAAAGGGGCAAGTCAATGGATGGGCCATGGATTGACTCCTCAATATCTCTTCCAAGTAGAGATGATTATTCTTCATCTAGCAAGCTTCTTAGAGATTAACATAATGAGTATGATTCCAATGAGGAAGAAAACTTGCATGTATATTTTTAAATCCTTTCTGTAAAGGAGTAAACTTGAACGGTAGAGTGATAAATGTATTTAACGTCAAAGGGAAAGCCTTGAAGTCATATACCTAGTACTTATTAACAATTTCTTGTCAGCAATTTTAGCCTACTTTATTTTTAGTAGTAGCAGTACATAATAATATTTTATGACAGAAAGGACTATGATTCTTTTGAAGTGGATTCATCATAATTATTTTCCTATCAATATGTGTCAAATATTATCACTAGAGAGTTAGTTTAGTAATCCATTTTTATTGTTGGCCAAAAAAAAAAAGTAATCCATTTTGATTCTGATATACAATGGACTTTTAATGAATAAACTAAAAAAGATAAGCCTACACTGCTAAAGATATAAGTCTTGAAATCAACTTCTGATTTCTAGTGTCAACGAGAATTAAAAATATTATTTTTTCATAACATAATAAATTAATATTTAAATTCTTGAAAGATATTCATATTTAATCCCTAATCATGCTTTGAATATGATCATTTCCAGTAAGAAAAAACTCAAGTGCCAAAAAAGACTTCCGATTTCACACAAGAATTCTCGCATTCCTATTCTCTCCGTGATGACATTTCATGTGTTCTTCCTATCAAAATATGGTTGTCAACTGTTGTTCTAGAGCTACAACTGGCAGATTAATTTGGCATGTACTGGCATTGTTACTGGCAAAGGTACAACATAGTCTCGCAAATTGGTCTGGTCTCAATTGTTATTAAAAACTATTTGCTGGCATCCACCCATTGTCCATTGCATTGTACTTTCAAATTTAATGTTGGACCAAGTAACTTGTTTCTTAGACTTTCAACAACAAATCTCATGATGGATGTTGCTGCGCTGAAGTTCTTCCAAAGTAAGATGTTTCCATACGCAAACCTTGGATTACAAAGCTATAGAAGAGCAAACAACAACAACGAATAACAAACAATTCACGGAACTCAAGTCGCTGCTCAACAAAGAGGGAACCTTTCATTAGTAAGCACACACCACGCACCCCAAGACGCGATTTTGAAGTTGATAACAATTTCAGGTCAAGATTTTTCTATTCACATGAAGACGGTATCGTTGCTATGAGCAGCTCCCAACCAAAAAACCTTGCACTTGCAAGTACCTGTTAACTAAATCTATATACACTTCTCTTAGTTCATGGAAAAGTTGGTGCCCAACACTGGAAGCCCTCTAAAATTCAATTCCGCTATTTATCTGAACAGAGAAAGATGGTCGCCCAACATTGGATAGAGGAGCATCAACTCTCAGAACCAGACCCGAGCTTCCTACATTTCCATTCCACTTCGATCTTCCAATCTGAACACACAAGACATAACTGAGCCAAGAACCCACCATAGTTCGGCAAACGCAAGTCAGAACACAATGTAAACAAGCAGAGCTTTAACCACGCACCCAGGAAGGTATGTTTTAAAATCAGCAATTAACCACGTAAAATGCTGCCTTTCTAGCTAAATAAATGAATAGATAATTTTTTTAACCATTTTTATCTTTTTAGGAACTTATCAATACTCAGATTTAAACTAAAACTGGCTTGACACCTGGAAGGAGATCAGGGGTGACAGCAACTAGCATTACTCATGGTCATGGACAATAATATTACAGAATATCAAAGCATACCATAGTTGTTTTGTCAGAAACAAAATTTTCACATACAAAACTCGAAGAAGCCTTACTGTATGATGGCTTTAAAAACAACTTACGGATATTGATGCAAAGGCAGAAGGATACGTCATGAAGGCACATCCAAATATTAAATTCAGCTTCTCCTTGATGGAATGAATGAGTTCGGCCCGCAGCCCAGGATTGCTTCCACCAAAAGTGGGACACACACTGACCATAAAAAGAAAAGTAACCAGAACATAGATCAAGAAAGATTAGAGACATGTGATGTGAATTGTACATTACGAAAAGGCTTGTATTAGAAGCATGGGAAATATACCAAAAAATGCTAAAAGTAGTTGCAAACAAACGTTTTGACTAATTACCGCTCATTATTTGGAAAAATGCATAAAGAGAAAAGGAAACAAGTACTGAATCATGTGCTGAAATAATTTTACTGGAATATAGGAGGAATCCCCTGGATGGGTAAATAAGTCAATTCTTGAATGTTTAGCTTTTGTACAAAATAACAAACTTTATAATTGGATTAGGGCATCCTTTTTTCAGTCATTCATTGAATGAAAATTCACTACAAGTGACGGTAACACTAGCCCTGCTTGATTCATAATGAGAATTCATCGAATAATGAATCATTGAGTCACTGCAATGACATATATAGAAGAAATACTATATAGATATACTGAAAATTCCTCAAGAAAAAGACTTATGATGGAAGGTATCCTTTGATCATATCTGCTTAGGTTTTCTTCCAAATTAAATAAAGAGAACATAATCAAAGCATTGCAGTCTATGTGCTTCACTGATCCAAGCTCAAAATTGAGATGACAACTTCAAAAGCCTGCTATAGGTTAATTTATTTTTCTCAAGGGGAGGCGGGGATGGATTGTAGGACATATTGATTGCAAAGCTTTAAGCCAAGATGTTACCAACATAAGTGATGGAAAATGATTCAATTTGTAGCATCTATTAGATTAAGCTAATGTTTTCTCCAAAAGAGTTTCACCATCTAATTTGCAAAGGGACAACCAGGTTGTTTTCAGCTTATCTGTTCTTCCACTTGTTTAATCTTCGGGACCACTATAAAGACTCATTGTCCTCCTCTCTTGTCTTCTTCTACTCTTAAAAAAATTCTTCTCTTTTATTTAGTGAATGAAAAAAAGAAGCTTTCTTGCATGTATTTCTCTGCTCTGGAAACTTCATTTATAAATGCAGGCAGGCAGGCTACTGATCACATACAGACAACATGAGTAGCAGATGCATCTCCAGAATGTAACGAAAGAACCTCAACACCTAGACTTTACCCAGAGGAAATAACAACATGGAGTATAACATGTACCTGAATTGAATAGTTGGCCTCACCATGAGACCAGATCTCTGCCAGGCCAAGGCCTGAGCAACAGCAAAGGAAAATGACTTATCAGGCCATTGAACCATTGGTGTAATTCTTGTTCCCCACTTATTCTAACAAAAAGCAAGTTAAAAAAAAAAAATTAGTCCCCATGCATGAGAAAATGAGTTTCCATTCCAGAAAATTCTGACTACGAATATATTATTTCATTAAAACCTCCAACAATTTCAACCTCACCTTGCATGAAAAGCTGAATCTCATTTCTCCTGGATATTGACCGTGAGCTTGTAGAAGACCCCCACAAATAGGAAGGAAAGCACTAGTATTTAGACCCTCCCCAGATACATAGGTCAACTGTCCGTTAGGAAATTGAAGATCCACAAATGACTGTGTGCAAAGAGTAGAGAAAAAAGGAGATGTCAATGTCAGGAAATTCTTTTCTCAAAGACAAAATTAGCAGATATATTGAAAAACTGCACGCGCTTGTACTCAGAAACAGCTGACATACTAGTGACGTAGAACCAAAGCAAGAAGGAAGGAAGGGAGTGAAATATTGAACAAAAAAACTGAATGTTTATAATTAATGATCGAACTGAACTAACCACAGCTAGTACGGGCTTTATATAGAGCCCTAGGTTATACTCAAATACAAGACAACGAGTTCGAATTCAAATTGCAAATAATGCACCTTGATCTCTCCCTCCTCATAACCGTTTGGGTTGATAACTTTGTTCTTAGCCACATCCCAAATAGTGCACTTTAAATATCTTCTTCAAAAAGTCTCTCCAAACAACCAGCTCTGCTAGCACTTTGCAGATTTACAGTACCAATCCTTATGTATAGATTCCCACAAACTCCTAACCAATATACCACCACAGCTTTCATTTTCAAGCTTTGTCTCCTGAAGCAGTACATCGGTTTTGAGATAACCTGTTTAACCTTCTTCCCCTTCCCCAAACAATCCAACCAAAAAGGCTTAATACTTTCACCTTGCACACCACCCTTCCTTCACACCTCCACAATTTTATTATAGACAATGCAAGATTGAATAATTCTTTTTCCACCCACTTCTTCCATCATGGATTACACTAAAAAATGAAATTAGAAGAAACTTAAATGCATAACTGAACTAGGATTATTATTAACTTCACTTTTAGAAACTAAGAATGGATGATATCTTAAGTAAATAGCTATAGTTCTGCTTATATTGCTGACAAAAAAAAACCGTACATATAACACTGTTGACAGGCAAATGTAACATCAGTTAATAATGAAACTAATAGCTGGTCTTTTGAGAGTCATTAATAAGATATCAACTTACACAAGCCAAGGGATTGAGGCATAGCATGGACATCAACAGCCACCTTCTGTGTTTTGACCACACTGCTGGGCAAAGAGAATGCATTCCGTTCTGACAATCAAAGAGCTAAGCATGTAAGGTCATAATGAAAAACCCTCCCACTCTACACAAAGAGGACTAAATGCATTATCACACAACCAAAAACAACTTTAAAGACAGGAGAGAACTGTCACTTGACTATAAGTGAGTCATGTTTGTATGTGGACCATAGGTTTGGCCTGGCTTGCTACTTAGGTCAATGTAAGCCTGGAGAAGTTACGGCTAATATTATTCCAAAATCACATAAAGAGAGAATTTTGTACCAATAATTTAGGAATATACTCAAACTAATTAAAAGGATAAATAATTGAAAAACTGTTTCCAGACGTCAAATGCCTATAATGCAGTGGATAAGGACTTATTTTATTAGGCTATATAAAGCTTTCTTAGCTAGACCTTTTTTCTGGCCAGAGAAGCTTTCTTAACTAGACTTAAACACGTTATTGGCAATTTGATAACAGACTGGAACTTAGCCAGCTGAAGCTGATCTTTACCTTTCTGTCATAGCCATACCAAAGCAAGTGTTGCTTGGACAGATGGACAGGCAAAAGGAGAGTTGAATCACGGACAAGGAGTAAAGGTCCAAGCTGGACAAGGAAAAGAGACGAATTTTCATTTCCTGATGTAGAACTGCCATGAGATGCCTCCACTCTCCATAAATCTCCCCTTGCAACTAAAGAACCTTCTACCTCTTGAGTTCTACTATCATAAGTTGATGAAACATTTATGACTCCCTGCACTTTGATAAATAAAACCGGTAAAGGAGTATACAACGGGGAGAAAGAGAGAGAAAAATGTAACCATACAAGTTATGAAGATGTTACATCATGGAATTTTGTTCTCACTTGATGACAAAGAAGCCCATCATTTCTTAAATAAAAATCACAAGAAACTCGAGGCTTTTAGAACACATGATTTTCCCATCCTGTTTGCATAAAGACACTTCAATTTAAAGTTATGCTCCAAGATCTAGATTACTTTGTAAATTAATATGACCAAACAACAGGATATGTAGGCTCTACTTGACTCCTAATACAATGTCATAAACAATTAATTTGTGCAGAACCAGAGCAGACATTACATGCAGAAGGATTGACAGACTTCCTAGTAATGCAGTCATCTAGGGCATAACCCTTTGACTGAAAACAATATATATGAGTCTAGTGCGCTTAAATACTGAAAGGTTGGACCATAACTCTTTCCATGACAAAACACAGCCAATCCAAGAGAGACTGGCCTTCTGGTCCGAAGCAGACCATAAATTAAGGAAGAACTATACATCGGAGAAGACAAACCCTTGGCCATATTGTATCAGAATAAGAGCAAGATGATCTTATATTGAGCAAAAATAAAGGGAAATCAATTCAACTCATATTTGTGGTAATGTTCCAACGAAGCATAAACGGTGTCCAGTTTAACAGCTCTATTAGAGGGTTAACTATTTTGCTCTCATTTTATACGACGAAAATTGAAGTGGTTCAATTGATGCTACGCTGCTAATCGCTTTCAGATCCTCAGACCTCATGCGTCAAAACACGGCTGCTTAATTGCTTGTGCCAGAAAAATACCAACTAAAGACTTTACCTGTCTTTTCCCCAGAAGACCAGCCGAACTAAGGTTGAAGCCGCCAATTTCTTCATCCATCGATCCACCAGCAACAGCATCATTTTCAGCAAACCCATAATTTTTCAACCTTTCACTCAGAGATCCCAAATCTTCCTGCATATTAATCCCGGCATCAGCTGTCAGCCTACCTTTATCTCCTTCCATCCGTGTGGAAGCCATCACCGTGTCCTCCTGCTTAAACGGTATTGGCAGCGACCTGAAAAATTGCTGAACTAACCCATTCAAGCTCGCACCAAAGTCCGCTCCAGCTTGCCCAATCCTGCTACCGATATCAAATATCGCCGAAACCCCATCGATTCCATAATTCTCCGTCGCTAATCCGAAATCCCTCTTCCCAAAATTCTGGGTCGGGAATTCCAGATCAAAGAGTTTCGATTTCGGAGGAGTAGGCCACGTGAAAGGTGGAGGGCTCATGTGAGACTGAATCAATCCAGAAAAACCCTGCGCAAGGCGATCGGCCAGATCGTGGCCGTGCCGCTGGACCTCCTCCCATGCCTCGAACGACCTCTCCACTGACATTTCGCCTTATCCAAAGAAGTCACAACCTACCCATAAAAAGTCGGAAGTAATCGCTGAACGAATTGAAGAAAAGAGCTAGCTCTTAACCAAGACAAGCATAAAAATTCAAGTTCACGGACGAGCTGGAATAACGGAATCAGTAGCAGAAGCAAATCAGGAACTGTAACAAGTGAGAGAGAAGATTAAATTGCCGCGGCAGGGACGATTAGAATTGAGACTTGAGAGAGAGAGAGAGAATGACAGAGGCTGGGCGAGCAGGTGGGATCAGAGAAATGAAAGAAACGCGATTTGCGAGAGAGAGAATGACAGAGGCTGGGCGAGCAGGTGGGATCAGAGAAATGAAAGAAAATAATCGCGTTGTTTGTGGCTAAGGTGAAAGACGATTTTATTGAAGGAGATGCGTGGGTCACGTGGCGAGCATGGAATCACAGGTGACAGCCATTCAGAATCCAAGAATTTTAGACTGGCCTGCAAGAATCTTCCCAATTTTGATGTCTTTCCATTTTGAGATGCCATGCCACAGTAAATTAAATTATTAAACTAGGGGGTGATGACAAGGCTGAAGAGCAAGCCACTGAAAACGAAAATCAAAGTAGTCATCATACCAAGATACTGATTTAAAATTATAAATCAAATCAATTGTGGACAGAACATATGACAATACTATTTTATACTTTATCAATTCAATCAAGATGATCGATTCAAATTTCTATATTATATTATACTCAATAGCAATCTCCCTAAACTGTTAGGCTTTTTTTTTTTAATATAAGTTATGTCACTCGCACACTGTTTTAAAAAGGTTGAGCCAGCAAACTTTCCTTATAAATATCAGTAAATATATCAATATTGATAGTTTGATACATTGATTAGGTGGTTGTTTATTGCATGCAATAGAAGGGGAAAAAATAAAAAATAAATTGAACTAAAAAAAAAAGACATTTCAATTTTTATGAATTATAATAAAAAGGCAGTAGTGATTAGAATCCCGATAGAGATATGCCCCAAAGAGGTATTCACAAACTTGTTTAAATCAAAGATTTAAAGATGTGGAAACAGAGGGGCTTGGGAGAGGTATAAAAAGGTTGGGAATGGGCGAGTAGTGCAAAAAGGACAAGTTAAGGATGGAGCATATCGAGTACCGTTATGTTCGGCTATCCTAGTTTATTATCATGTTTTTGTGGGCTTGTGGCCCAAAAAAAAAACTGTACTTTTTGTCTTTTTTAGCCTATTTTGTGGCATCTGGTCAAAAAAATTTTCTTCATCGTCCTGTTTTAGGCTTTTAGCTCAAGCCACCAGTGCGAAGATGGAATCATGGAATCAATGATGCATACAGTTCCCATTTTTTCTCTCAACTATTCCTAAGTCAAAATGCCATGAAATCCAATGGAATTTATTTCCCAAAAAAAAATTCCATGGGATCGTTTTTTAAAAAAATTCAAGGATAGAATCGTCTTACAAAATGAAATTTTAATGAAAGAAAATTTCAATCCAACCAGTTAAAAAATAAAAGGCCAAAAAAAGAAGTATTTTTACCCAAAATAATAATAATAACAAAAGTACGTCTTAAACGACAAGAAATGTCAAAAAGGGTAAAGAGGAACAAAGCAATTTCAAACATATCCATACAACGTAGCATGCTTGCATATGAAGGGCCCGCTCGCTTGGTACACATTCAAAAATACAAATTGGATATTGTAGCCTGATATTTTTTCCCCCTCGGCCGGTGGCATTGTACGAAGGCTACTCTGATTTGGTCACTTTTGGAGATATTAAAAGATAAGAGTAAACGATGACCAAAAATATAAAAGTATTGTGGATAATGTCTTAAAATACCAATTGTCCCCTTCATTGATCTTCATTTCCAATTTCTACCGATTTTTTTTTTTTTGCCAACAATTTCTTGACCCATGATTAATCATACAAACGCAGTAGGGGTTTTTAGAATTAATAATCTAATCTAATAAGCATGGATAATTTTTTTAAAAAAAAACTACATGTATTTAATATAATTTTATTTCATATTGAATTAGAATGACAATTCAAAATAAGAAGCATCTCAAATTCTCTACCTTTGAAGGTCTGGAGGAGAAAAAGATGATTCAATAATCAAAGAGTAATCCATTCAATTTCACTGCATTAAAGACATCTCAAAACTTTTTCCCCATTACCCAGTTCTTTCGCCACCAAGCATACCGTCCTGATAGAGTTTCTTTGGCACACACGACCAAAAAATATTATGAAAAATTTTAAAAGTAAGAAAAAACTATTATAACTTTGCCTTTAAATGGGGGAAAAAAGATAAATAAAAACTACTTATCCCTCCAAGCTATAAAGCAAGACCGTACAGAACATACATAGCAAGCAAGCCCAAGGATACTGCATGAAGACCAGTGCTTTAAACTTTTAAAATGGAGAGTAGATATTGATCTCAGTAAAAAGAATTATAAATGCTCTAGTACGAAATCTTAAACACAAGTTTAAAATGAAAACAATATTTTTAGAAAAGCTATTCCAATTGAGCTTAACAATTCTTAATTTTAATCCAGTTAGATAGTCATATATTAAAAAAAAAAAAGTGGAGTGCAAATATGACATGTCAGAATTTTCAATTACATTTATAAATATTTATTAAAATTAGATTAGATTGCGAGGCTCATTATGGTGTTTAGGGGAAAAAAAGGACAGAAACATGACAAAAAAGGGGGAAAAGAGAAAAGATGTGGGGGAAGTGGATCCTACTTGTAAGACAGGCCCATTACTTTTTCTCTTGACATGACCCTTGACCCTTGAAGTGCCCCAAGAGATATAAAATCCGCAAGAGTTATTGGACAAAATGCAAAAATACAATTCAAAAACGCTGGAAAGACATTATATATAACAATTATACGGTTATAATTTAGAAATATCTCTAATTAGAAACAACCACTAACAAATTTTACAGTTTCTGACACTATTCTTGCCGGAAGCTAAAAACTCACTGGAATGGTAGTATTTGTTGCAATATCACAATGGATGGTCTATGGCTTTTCAAACTATGCTGTTGTCATATAGTCAATCAACCATCAAAACACCTACAAATTTGCTGGATCAAATTCCTAAAATAATTCAGTACAGCTCAAAAAGACCATCCTATCAAATTTCCATAATGGCTTTGGCCACTTAGTCATGGTTACACTTCCTGAGTTATCCAGTTTCTTCTGTGGCAAGCCAACCGAAGCCAAGAACCCATGCAATGAATATCAATGGTTCCCGAATTCAAGTACTATCAAGGTTTAACAAGACAATGATGAAATCAGAGGGTAGCAAATCCACTCCAAAACTCACTAAACCTGTATGCAAACTGAATAACTATCAAAGTGAAAGGATTAAAAAAAAAAATGCATACAATGAAAGAGAGAAGCTGTCTGCATCCACCTTGATTATGGTCTTCAAATATTTCTACAAATAAAACAAGGACTCCAAGTTCACATTCAACCACTGACTTCTTTGAGTATAAATTATTTTACCTGCAAAATAATAATAATGTTAAATCGGCCAAAAAAGGAGTAAATTATATTCACGTTCTCTCTAGTTTTTGAAACATACACTTCATCCAGTTTCAACTTTATATTAGAATCTCCCTTCAGCTTTATGAAACCCACATTCATATCCCTTGTAATTTAAAAGTATGACATTAATCTCCTTTACTTAGAGATTTCATAAAGATTAACTTGGCCTTTGTTGGTGGTTGCACTAGAATGGGGCCGGGGAAGGGATGAGTGTAGGTGTTATAAACCTTAAAGGAGATTGATATAATTTACTAAAGAAATCAAATTGATCCTACAATAATAAAATACCTGGTCCTTGAGCTACCAAGTGTAAGCTCAAGATCATCTGATCCAAACTCTTCATGGATCCTTTCTCCTTCCCATGGCTTCACTAGCCCAGATGTGTTGCTTCCAAATGCAAATTCATCAGCAATAGCTTCAGACATGGGAATATCTGCAGTATGATCAGAGCCAGCTGCTATAGCTGGAGAACACGTCCCACTATGCCCAGGAGTCCACATGTGAGATCCTCTGCCTGCAGCCATAGCATCTTCCTTGAAGCCAAATGGGTTCTTGGAGATCAGGCTAAATGTTGGGGAAGTTGGAAGCTTAATCCCTGCAAACCATTCAGGGTCAACTATCTGGCGCCGAGGGCTTGGAGGAGTGGAAGAGGGCATGAATAAATAGTGTTGTCCTGCCCGTGTACATTGATCATCCCAGTCAGTGCTGATTCGAGGTGTTCTTGCAGTAGGAGAGCTCAGCGGAGGTGTGACAGGAGCACTAATGGAGCCACTGTGAAGATAGTGATGGGGAAGCTTGGGGGAAGATGCTGAAGATGATGTAGTAGATAAGTTTTTCAGCCATGGAATGAGGGTATTGCCATCAGCATTAGGATTTGGTGCATAGGGGGATGAGGATGGGCTCGGGAAAGAAGATGATCCTGGGCTTGGGTTGTAGGAAGCACAGGGACTTGGATGATAAGATGAGCAGGGGCTTCCCGCTGCAGACCCACCAACTATGTCCATTCGCTCTAGAGGCTTGCATCCCTACATATGCAAAATATTTTCAAAGAAGGATTAAAATGTAGCTTGTGGGAATCTACCATCACATTTTCCAAACGACAGTGGGATTTGCAAAATCAGAACAGTCGAGCATTTATGCTGCTCAAAACGTAGTATCCTGGGATCTAAGATATATAATGATGCATTTCTAGAATCAGTAACAATTTTCTGCACTCTTATACATGTATGAATCACCAGTTTTCTGCTCTGCCCTAAAGTCTATAGAGACAAGTTGCTTGACTACTGGCCTACCGCAAGTCAACGAACATTCTTGTCTGCGAGGCGTATGAACATGCAACGGCTTAGATTTGGTAGTCGTTTTCACTTTCCAGGAAGGGGGTGGGGGAAATTTTCTCCTCCATAAGATTTATGAAGGAGTTCTGGATTCTCAGGAGAAGATGAGCCAAGCAACGTAGAATCTCTAGTTTCTCCATTGCCATTGTTACTTTATATAATAGCATTTTTTCCTGGCTTATTAAAGAATTACTGAGTTAGAAGCAATCTTACCTACCAGCTTCGAGAAAAGCACTCAACAGAGCGCAGAACCTTGCAATGTGAATGAAAATGGCGGATGTAAGATGTACCTTGCGATAAGTGGTGCCGTCGGGTTCGACGGTCCAACCAGCTTCGTTGCAGAGAGCCTTTAGGACTTCATTGTTGTCGCAGTGCTTAGGGAGCTTGTAGTTACCGTACATTCTGAGACCAGAGAAGATCTTTGCCGCTATGGCTCGCCGCCTCCTCTCTCTCCTCTTGTTGTTCTCCCTCTCCTTCCATGTCGGTAGCCTCGTCCCCGACGTCATCTCTCTCTCAGAGAAACCACAGAAACGAAAAAGGCCAAAAGAAATAGAGTAACACGGAGTAATCAGAAGCAGATTATAGTACAGATTTACGGGCAAATTTCTGGGTCACAGAAGAAGGAAAAGCAAAGAGTCAAGGCGATGAACAAAGCAGGGAAACACCACCGGTTTCGCAATGTAGCTCAGTAAGAAGCTGAATTTTAGGTACTAGAAGTATGTGGTGTGGCCGGAGTAGGATCGGCGATCAGAGAAGATACATGCCGGAAAACCGGGAGCGGTATTGATGAGAAGAAAGTGAGGGGAGAAAAGGGAAAGAAAAAAGAAAGCACGAGTTTGGGGGACGAGAGGCGCTATGATAAGCCAAATTTGCGGATCAGAGAGAAAGATAAAGAGAAAGTGAGAGTGATGTGAGAGTTGTTGTGTATAGTTGTGCAGGGATTGTGTGTGAGACGTGAATACTGAAAACCACCACAAGGAGCCACAACCACTTCCTCCTACCTCTCCTGTGCTCTCTGCTTCTCTCTCACCGGTAGCTTCTTGTTCCGTGTGATCTTTCTTGCCATGTGATCTTTTGTAAAGAAAGGGACTTACCATTTAAATGAATCATATGCATTCTATGTTTTTAAAAAAAAAAAATAATAAAAGGAGACAAATAAAGAAAAACCTGACAAAAACTTTTTTTTTTTAACCTTAAAAAAATAAGAAGGCATGCTGAAGATCAAAATATCATGTCTTCAGCATTATCATATTTTTCTGCCATCTATAAAAAGATTAGAAAAGATAACTGTTGTGCCCACATCTTGTATTATACTCTCCCTAATCTTAAACATAAATCACATTGTAAAATAAATTTATTTTTATTTTTATAAATCACTTTGCATAAAAAAAGTTGATCATTCATCAATTTCTCTCAATTTCATCCTTGACCATTTTTCAATTCGTAAAGAATAAAATGTTACATAAAAGAGAATATGTTTAATATGAATAAATTAGAAAAAAAATTCCTTTTTAGACGGCATTAATAATTCCTTTACTCTCCATTTTTTTCATTATCGTTAGATTAAAACTTTTCAATGGTTTTGATTTAATTTTAATAAATTATTATAATTTCACTTAAAAATACATTATAAAAATATTATAATTCTAAATTATTTAGATGAAATTTTAATATTTTAAATTTATATATATTTATGTAAACTGTAATAATAATTTTATTAAATATTAAATTAGAATCGTTAAAAGCGTTATTCCAATGGTGATGAAAGAAAAATGAGAAAGATAGAGAATAAAGAAACATGACAGCCCCTCTCCCATAAATAGAATATGACCGAAAGAGTAGCCTATAAAAAATATTTTCATTTTTTCTTAACATCGCATAAGTTTTATATATTTTCAGGCACCCAAAATTCATGTAAATTTCCTGATAAATAAATAAATAAATAAATAAATAAATATATATATATATATATATATATGTATGTATGTATGTATGTATGTATGTATGCATGTATGTGTGTATGTATGCTTTTCAGACTTGAATCTCCTTGTAATTTAATTCACGCTTTATCTTCTTCTTCTTCTTCTTTTTTAACAGTTTACATGCTAAGAAATGACTTTGACAAGTATTGAGTATATTATTACAATCGTTGGCATGAAAAAAAGATTCAAGTTTGTGGCAGGAAGTGATTGCCAAAATCTCATTAATTTCTTCTATAGAATAAGAACTTTATTTATGTGATGCACATGACAAAGATTTCATATGGGGTTTCAGAAAAGATAAGTCAAAATGCAAATAATGCAGTGACATTACTTTCAGTGATAGTGGGAAATGAAACAGCCATTTTTCACTTTAATCACTCAAAAATAAAAAAGGTTGAGTTTATAGTCAAAGTGAGGGCCAACTTTTGTTATTGCTTTCAAAAGGTTAACCCTCTAAAGAGAATAAAGAGGTGTGGATGATTGATTACTTATCTCTTTCCAAGCATGTGTGATATACATGGGCCTCCATGGAACTTCAATGTCAAGAGTAAATAATAATAACAATGGAACCTCAGGGCCTATTTGTTTTATGTTTTCAAAAATTGTTTTTAAAGAAAAATTTTAAAACTTGTTTGGATTAGTATTTTTGATCTAATTGTTTTTAAAATTGTTTTCATTTTTTGTTCTTTAAAATTAAAAAATAGAAACAAGTTCGAGTTGTTTTTATTTTTTTCCTGAAATGCACTACATTTGATTATTAGAAATTATAATTATTTTAATCAATTTCTATTAAAAAATCATCAATATTAATCACATATAATTATTATTATCATTTTATTTTTATTTTAAAATTATTTTTAAATTAACATAATCAAATGAATTTTTATTTTGTTTTGTTTTTAAAAAATAATTTTAAAATTTGTATTACAAAATAGTTTTTAAAAATAAAAAATTAGAACAAAAACCAAACATGCTTCCTATTATTAATAAATATTGACTTTAATTGTTACTTGAATATAAAATTATAAAAAATAATCTCAAAAATTATAAAAATGTCAAAACAAGTAATTTTTTAGATGATACTAATATGTAATTTTTTTGACCAATTTCTATAATTTTTAAATCAATTAACAATTAAAATATTTTTTATTAATAATAATGGTAACGTCGCATCATTTTAAAATATTAAAAAGGAGTATAATATAAAAAATAAATTTAAAATTGTACACATTTATAAATTTATAGTTTACAGTAAATTTGCTTTCAACCTGTATAAATTGGTTCAGACATAAAATCGCTTTTCTTTTGAAATTTTTATGATGCGTCATTCTCTCTCTCTTTTGGGCATCACCTCATCAGACTTTATTTCCTCACCTTGTCTGCCATTCAGAATAGAGAGCAAGCAATGAGAAAAGAATGCATTAATTGAAGACAATAAGAGCTTGTTTGTTTTTTATTTTTAAAATTATTTTTTAAAAAACAGAAAAAATTAAAAATTTATTTGAATAAGTGATTTGACTTAATTATTTTTAAAACTGTATTACAGGCTTCCTATTTTGCTTTTTACATGTTATAGAAACAAAACTGTATTCAAAGCTTCCTATTTTGTTTCTATTTTCATTTTTTATTTTAAAGATTGTTTTGTAATAAAATTTTTTTAAATAAAATTAAATAAAAAAATTTTCAGTCATATTAATTTAAAAATAGTTTTAGAATAAAAAAATAGATTGACAGTAATGGTTATAGATAATTGATGATAATAATTTATAATACAAATTAGTCAAGATAATTATAATTTTTAATAATTAAATATAGTGTATTTTAAAAATAAAAAATAAAATGAAAAAAATTTGAAGTTGTCCTTATTTTTTTAAGCAAAAAATAAAAACAATTTTAAAATAATTGAGTTAAAAACAATCATCTAAATGCATTTTAATTTTATTTTTATTTTTAAAACAATAAATAATTTTTGTTAAAAAAAAAAACAAACAAGCCCTTGTTGTCTTCTATTAACGCATCCTTTTCTCATTACCTGCTTTCAATTCAAAAAGGCAGACAAGGTGAGGAAATAAAGTCTGACGAGGCGATGCCCGAAGGAGAACAACGCATCATAAAAAATTCAAAAGAAAAACGATTTTATGTCTAAACCAAAATACATACTCCTCCCATTTTTATTGGTAGAACGATTTAAAAAAATTAATTAATTATATTAGTTGTTTATAAAAATAAAAAATTGAATTAAAATATTCTTCATTCATTATATCAATTAAATTTTCATTAATTATTTTTTAAGATTATGAATGATGAAATTATAAAAGGTAACTTAAAAATTATTTCAATGACTGAATTTCGATACAATTTCTCATGGGATGGGCATATAATATTCTTGTAAAGCCAAATTACAAGGATAATAAAATTTTTAATCCATCAAAATTATTTTAATTATCAATCTAGTTTCTTAAATTTAATATTTACCAATTTGATCCCTAAAATTTGCCTAGTTATCAATTTGAGCTTTACTGTTTAAAATAAACGCAACACTCTTTAAATTCGCTGATACGTGTAACAAAATATTGGTGGTAGCTATGCAAATGAATGAAAATAAGTGAAATTATTTAAATAGAGGAAAAATACTCATGAATTTAAAAAAATAAAAAAGGCAGCATAGGACATTGGATTAGAAAAAAATAAAAAAATTGATTTGAGGGTAATCTATTTTCATTTAGCTAAATATGCATGTTACGTTATTAAAATACTTTACATATTTGATTACTTTAAAAGTGAATTTGTTTTTAAAAGGTTACAACTTAAAGGATTAATATAATAATTTAAAAAAATATAAAGGACTAAGTTGATGAAAAATAAATTTGAAAAAATAAATTAATAATTAAAACAAATTTGAAGAACTAAAAATTTTATTATTCAAACTTTATACATTAAAAATATGCTGAGAGAAAATTTTTATCTGAAATTGTTAACACTTATTATTAGAGTATTATAAACTCTTTTCGTTAAAAAATATAAGATATTTTTTAAAAATTTAAATGTTTAAAAATATAAGACATTTTTAATTTTTTGAAGTGTAATTATTATCTTTTTTTTAGTGTCCATATTGATGATGATTTTATATATTACTATAAGGTATTTAACTGGGGTGAATATAAAAAAATAAAATTAATTTAAAAGTAAGAAGTTATTTTATTAAAGAGTAAGATTCGATTAAAAATATCTTATATTTTTTAACAAAGTGAGTATGTTTTTTCAAAAAAGGAAATATTTGTCACGTCTAAACTATAACTTTGTAAAGAATATCTTAATGATTGACCTGGATATTTTATTTTATTGATAACTTAGACAAATTTATTTATTTAAATATCTATATTTACAAAATTATTTATTTAAATATTTATTTTTACATTTCTTTAATGAAAAAATAAATTACAAAAATTTAATTTCAATATTATCAATGCTATGACTTATCTGTTTCAGTTTATAAGATATTTTTTTTTGCCAAAATTACACATGCTAATGAAATTTTTTTAAATATAGTTATAAGCTTAATTTTTCTATAAACTTAAACAAGTATTCTTTGTTAATAAGGGAGAGAGGGGAGAAAATTTATGGGCAATACTTGTATACTTAATTTTATATACTTAACATATTCTTATCAAATTAAATCAGGACATATAGATTTTAATATTTTAATTATATCAATAACAAAAATTTAACATAGAATAAATGATTTATAAAAGATACACATATTTTAATTTAATTAAAAATAAGCATCTTAAGCATATAAAGATAGGTATATAAGTTTTTTTATAATTTATGTACATTTCATTTGGATGGAAAGAAAAATAAAAGGAAAAAAAAATAGGAAGGAAAATTTCTAAAAATCAAAAATAAACTATTTAAAAAAATTCCTTCTCCATATTTTTTTCTCACCCTTCTCTCTAACCAAACCAAGCTTTAAGAAATAAAATAACGAGGGGGTAGTACTGGAATAACAATCATTAATCACATTTTATTTTTAAAATATCTTATATCTTGAGAAATTAAATCATTAAAAATTT